GGAATGTGGGTTATTTCCACCTTTTTGGCTATTGTGTGCTGCAATGAACACTTGTGTCCTAGTTTTGTTCACATCACCACTTTTGAGTCTCGTGGGGGATACATCGAAGGGTGGAATTTCTGGACCAAATGGCAGTTTTTAATTTTTAAGGAACTACCAAACTGTTTTTCACAGTGGCTGTATATACCATTTTGCAGGAGCCCTGGCAGTGTAGTTAAGTTATGCCTATCCGCCAGCAGTTCTGTGGGAGAAAAATGAAGCATTGCTCTCTTAAGATTTATAACCTCAAACTCCCCACGGGAAGTTCCACTCTGTTCCATAGGGTAGCTCTGAGTTGGAATTGACTTGATGGCAATGACTTTTGGTTTGGCAACATTTTGCATTCCCCACCGGCGATGAATGACAGGTCCCATTTCTCCATATCCTTGCAAAAATATTTGTTATTTTCCTTATTTTTTATTTTGCTGTCTGTGGTAGATGATTTTATGTCAACTAGACATTCCGGGCTAGAGTTGGAGTCAAACCTGCCAATCAGGTTATAGCCTGATGCTGTGTCCTTGAGGGTGTGGCCTTCTTTTAAGTGGGGACCATGGGGTTAACCCTCTTTGTCTCTCCTCCATTCACCCTCTAGCTTTGACCCTGTGAGCTGCCAGAGCCCTGCCATGTTTCCACCCACCGTGGATCCACAGGACTCTGCACCCACCAGTCTGTGATCTCCCTGTATTCTGCATCATTGTATGTGGCTGCATATGTTGTAACAGAGACTTATGCACTAGTAACATTTTGATTCACATGTTCCTGATGGCTGATGAGAAAAATGAGATTTTTCTATTCCCATAAAGTCAGCCTTGGAAACCCACATGGGCAGTTCTACTCTGTCCTAAAAGGCTGTTCAGAGTTGGGATTAACACAATGGCAGTGAGTTTGGTTTTACATTTAGTTAACAGCTGATGAAGAACCCTAGTGGGGCAGTGTGTTATATTGGCGCTGTTAACTACAAAGTCTGCGGTTCAAACCCACCAGTCCCTCTCCATGGGAGGAAGAGGAGGCTGTTGGTTTCAAGTGAAGATTGATAACCTTGGAAATCCAGAGGTAGTTCTACTTGATCCTGTTGTTGTTGTTAGGTGCCACTGAGCTGGTTCTGGCTCAGAGCTACCCTATGCACACCAGAATGAAACAGCTGGGTCCTGCTGCCAGTCACAATTGTTCCTATTGTTTCAGCCACTGGTCAATCCATCTTGTCCAGGGTCTTCCTGTTTTGCTGCCCTTCTACTTTTCCCCATGGTACAGTGGGCCGCAATCCACATGGTCGGCAGTTAAAAACACCAGCAGTTCTGAG